GACGGCTGAAGTAGACTGGTTCCTTTCTCAAGTCACGTCAGTACCGCTTGTTTCCGTCTAGATCGAATTTCTTTTCATCCTGAAAGACGACCTAAATAAGAATTATTCAGCTCTATGGTGAGATTTTGATGCAGATCTTCCTTTGCCCAATCTCTCCCTAGGTTCATCTTTGCAAATCCGAGTCGAGCCCCTCTGTGACGATCGGTGATTCGTGGCACCTTCTCCATTGCTTGCCTGGTGATGTTCTCGCATCTTCTCACTGCTCTCCAGACTGTATTTTTCGACACAGAGAGGTTTAATTCCTATCGAATCTGGTTCAAGAAGGACGTACTGTTGGAAACAGTCCTCAGAATCTTCCGCTCGTCACGGGCAGTAATCTTTCATGGGTGTCCACAGTCGGTGTTATATCTAAGGAGGGCTCTCCATAAAACTTTGAATGGACCAAGGGGATCTCCCTATTTGCCTGGAGATGGCTCGAGTACTGAGCCCACCTTCATGATGAGCCTTCTCATCAGAGGAAAGCAGATGACCACGAGCCATGTTGACAGTCAGGTTTAGAAATGCATTTGCTACACATGCTTACCTTTCTTTATAAGTATTTTTAAACACGAAATTTCCTCTCTTCCTTGAATAATTGTTCACTTTCGCAGGGTGACCTTATAATTATGAAACGGTACAAGAACCGATAAACTGTTCTAAAAAAGTTCAGAAAAATGCAGCTGCGGCTAAAAAACGGAAACCTAGGTTATTCGTGCTGGGGAATCCGTTCATGATGCTAGAGAAAATCCTTAGTGATTGCTTTTTCTGAAAGTGCAAAATTTGAGGGTGACCTTATAATTATGAAACGCACTGTATTCTATGTACAGTCTACGTACAACGAATCAGGAAGATAATGCAACACGAGGGTTTTTACACACTTTTGGTACGCACAGTGCTTCCTCCTTCTCAATTTTCGAGTGAGACTTCATGGTAGGAAAGCACCTGTTAATTCAACAGTTACCGACGTGGAGCTGGTGGAGAGAATTGAAAAGATTCTTTGCTTCTGAGGAAGGGCAGTGACGATGCCAGGACAAACACGGGGGATGGAGTGCTTTATTCAAGAGGGTAACACCCTTATGTACACTTCTCTATCACGCCTATCCTCTGATCCTTCTTCATTCTTCACTCTCAGACGTTCACTCACACCCTACGACTCACCCTACGGTCACTCAGGGCACTGAGCGTTACTCCTCGTTGTGAAGAGGTCCAACCGTATGTTTACCTCCTCCTCACCCATGTGTTTCTGGACACCAACTACCAACATTATTTCTAAAATACTTACTATCAAACACTCCCCTCGGTGGGGTTTTCTCAAGGCTCACGTCTCAAGTCCTCGCGGGCCGGATTCAGGCTTCTATGTCTTCGCCTTAGTGATCGGCTGCGGCTTGCTGATCTTCGTCTTGATGATCGGTTGTGGCTTCTTGATCTTCGTCTTCGACCGGGGCCTTCTCCTGATCCCGAACGGTTCCTCGAATGTTCTTCGCCTTCCATTTTCTGGAGATCCGAATCTCTTGCAATGCCGACCACAGTGCGCGATCGCGCCTGTGGCGGGCGACGCGGTCTTGCCTGCTTCCACGGCGGGGCCCATACCACCGCAGCTTTCCCTACCGGGACTAATGCCACTGAGTGTTTCACCTGCGGACCTCGCACGTGCTTGTTCCCAAGATTTTAACTACATACAATAACGGGTATCCACCGATCTTCCGACCCGGTGTAATTTCTTATAAAAACTTCTTGCCCTACGCCGAATCGCCGTTGTTTTTTTCTACATCATGAAAGTTTTTCATCCCTGCACGATATATGCTCGGAGGCAACGCGTTATTTTCCGATCTTATTATATCTAGGGTAGTCCTCAGCGTTCTTCCCACTGGCATTTCCCCTGGTGCTTTTCCAGTCGCTACATAGGGCGTTACCCTATACTCGATAATAAATCCAAATAGGCATCTTCCACCGTCTTATTGCAACGTATCACTTTATTCAGCGCATTTTTGAAAGTTTGCACAAAACGTTCTGCCTCGTCATTCGGGTTGGGGTGGTATGGCGGTGTGAATATCTGTGCAGTGCCTGTTTTCCCGCAATAGGCACGAAACCCCGCTGACGTAAAGGAAGGACCATTGTCCGAAACCAACTGTTCGAGCAACCCATGTCTGCTGAAAATTTCTTTCAGCTTTAATATAATTTGCCCTGCTGTGGTTATTCCCATCTTAATCGATTCTGGCTATTTGGACTTAGCGTCTACCACCACTATCCGTTTAACTCCCCCGCTTGTCTCACAAAAATCTATGTGCATCCTTTGCCATACTTTCTCCGGCTCTTCCCATGGGTGTAAGGGTATCTTTACTGGATCTCTACCCACTACTGCGCATGTGCTGACTTCTTTGTCACCTGCTCTACCGCTTTATCCATGCCTGGGAACCATATCTTAGTTCTCGCCAAGCTAATCGTCCTATTCCTACCGTAAAGGCTATTATGCAACATTTCCAGCACCACTTGCTGAAACTTCTTGGGGATAACCACACTATATCCCCACAGTGTGCACCGATTGTGGATGCCTTGGCTATCTGAGTCTCTGCGACAGGGAGGTTTTTCGCTGCTTCTGTCATTTGCTAGACCTACAGTTCATTTATCACCATTTCAGCACTAGGTAACTCTTTCGGTTCGGGTAACCTCGATAACGCGTCCGCGTTGCCAAACTCGGACGTCTTGCTATACTCAATCTCAAACGAATATAGCGTAGTAGCGTTCACCTCCCCACTTCACGCATCCCTGCCCGGTATCAACGAGTGAGCTCGGAACCAGGCAAGGTTTAAGCCGGAAACTGCTAATAGTTCCGAATTACGGGGGAAGGAATCACTGAATTACACGGTTTCCCTGGGGGGCAGGAATAGGGTGAGGAACAAGTGTTTATTAAATCAAGAAAAAGA